AGAACAAAATATAAATATATATAACTATATATATTTAAAATATATATAAAAGATCAAATGTACAGTTTAAAGGTCCAGTGTGTAACATCTGCTATTGGCAGAAGTTTAATATAATATTCTTAGCGTAGTGTGTAATCAGTGCAATTTTGGTGAAATACTAATATTAAAATACTGAAATTATGCTATTTTTGCCATACATTTATATTGTGCTGTATCTTCATCATGGATTATGTGTAAAATTAGGCTGTTATTGATGTATGTATGTCATTAACTGATTATTACGTATCAGAGGTGTTTACATAAAGCAAATGGGACATGATTGCAGCTATTAATGTTTCTTTGTAATGGCCAACCTCAAAAATAAGCTCCCTCAAAAGCCATGGTGTAGTTTATATATGATCTACACCTGCAGTCAAAGTGAGACTGACACCACTCTACAGTCATTGTGGAAGAGAAGAAGAAGCAAAGGTACACACCCGCTTACAGGAAATAAAGTTCAGTACAGGAAAACACATTCTCACCAAGACACTACTCACTCTTACAGTCTACTAATTGTTTGTGGAAAGAAGTACAAATATGTGTGTTTTAGATTTAACACACGTACATTGATTTAAAGCCAAACTGGGCCCAGACACATTTAGAGGAGGAGTACAGATACTAAATGTTGCAGACAGGTGAAACGCGCACACACACAGTCTTCTGCTGAACTACTGACAGAAATACCAAAATGAACACCTGCAACCTGACAGCAGCTGAGTCCCACAAACCAACACATGCACAGCTATTAACTGCCCAAACACAGCTGTGAACATGCAGACAAGGTGAAGCCTCAGAGGCACGCCAACACTCACACCAGGAACTAAATGCATCTGTGAAACCTCAACTTTAAAAACTTTTCAATTATCCCTCCCACCAGGACTTGTATCTAATTTAGAGTTGCCAAACTTTTCCAACCTATTGAGAACCATGTAATCCCCCTCCAGTTAGATTTGTTACAAAACAGTCACCTAAATTGGAGTTTGATAGTGATGATAAGGAAGTAATTAAAAACCATCTTAACTTTCCCCGATCTTTGACCCTGATTTTACTGTCTTTGTCAATTTGAGCGTGAAGCATGAAGATTGATTTCTATAGAATGAGAATGTATTTCAACCTACAGATGAGTGACTAATTAAAGGAAAAAGCAACATAAAGTCTGTGGAGGCATTAACACAGTTCTTCCAAAACATATTCCCTCATTTGGTGGAGAGCGCCGTCGAACACGTCTTGTGACTGACGGACGTAGCATAATGATTCACACCACTGTAACCATTCAGTGAGCTCTCAGATATAACACTCCTTCATTTGTCCACTAATTTATCCTCTTTTCCCATTTTAATTTATCACCAGGATGTCTGTGAAATCTAAATCATTACATGTCATAAAAGATTTATAAAATGAATATGAAAACATGAATATAATAAATATCAGTCTTGGCAGGTGACGCCATGTAGTGTCCTAACCATAAGAGTGAGAGACCCTTTCTTTATGCCCGCTATATTAAAGAAGCTTAATGATTAAACATAGAGCTGAAACAATTAGCTGGTTAATTGCTCAGTTGATGGGACAGAAAACGAACTATTTTCATAATCATCGTTTTTCAAGAAAAGATGTCAAACATTTCCTTGTTCCAGTGACTTAATTGTGTCTATTTGCTGCTTTATTTGTTCCCTTTAATTGTAAATAAAATTTCTTTTCAGATTTTGGGCTGTTTGTTGGGCTTTAGAAAATTGCGGTGGACATTTTTCACTGTTTTCTGACTTTTTGTAAATCAAATATTCAGTTGATTAATCAAGAAAAGTAATCAGCAGCTGTGGAATAAAAACACTGCTGCAGCTCCACTTGAAAGAAATAAAAAGATGGACAGTAAAATCTGCAGAAAAGACTATACAGGTACAGAGTTTATGTATAGACTGTTCATATCTACAGACATAAGCCATCAAGCTGTCATATAAATCAACACATACCACTAGATGCATTCAGCTCTGGATCATACATAATTAACCCATATAATGTATAGTAAGTTTGAAATGTGTAGGTATTAAGAAAATCATTCAGTTTCAGTTCAATGTAGTCTCTAGTGGTCATAGAATAGCACTGATATACTGGGTAAATGCTGAGAGTGACAGAAGTAATAATGAGCAATGTGTCAAAGCAAATCCAGGGTTAAGGAGCAGTAACGGTGGATATGATGTCTGTAAGTAGGCGTCAAGAAACAGCCTTCCACTGTAGGTGCAGGGAGGTCAGAGATATTACATCTTACTACCTCGGTTTGCTAATAGCCTTAAGTGAAACCTGAAGTGCACAGGAAGCGGTACAAGGTGAGGAAGGAGGAGATTGAGAGCGAAAGTCTTCTCTTAAGGCCGGTGGACTGTGTCTGACAGGCTCCGAATCTAAACTACACTCTTACTGTCTAATTTTTCAAGTAATTTCACAGTCTGTTTCACACATTTTTCATTCCTGCTATTAAAATTACATTTTAGTATTCACTGTGCATTTCTCATTTTGTGCTGTGCTGTCATGGCTATTTGATTGCCTTGTAGCCTTCCAGCTCCTCAATTCTAGGTCCATTTCACAGACTGTTTTACATTTTGCTTCAATTCTGGAAGCTGTAAACACATTGATAGTCTGCAAATGACTTTCTTGTTTGTCAGATGTTCATATATTAAAAAGTTGTGTGATAAGGTGACATCGCCTTTGACTGCGCAGTTGTTGCTCGTTTGTATGTTCATTTGGAGTGATTACTTGACTTAAAAGAGTTTCCCACCACTTACATGTCAGTGTGGCCGAATGAGAGTCTCTAAACATCTTATGTGGGACGAGCGCAATTCAGTTAACTAAGTGCCATCCTCACCTTCCCTTGCTCTTGTGTTCCTAGGCACCTGGGTCAATGAGGTCCGCCTCCAGCCTGGCGTCCAGTGGGAGCTCTCAGATGGCGACACGCTGATCTTCGGTGGTCAGTCGGCTCCAGGGAGCCCAGAGTTCTATTTCCTCTTCCAGAAGGTCAAAGTTCGCCCGCTAGACTTCGATGCCATCACAATTCCAAAGGTAATCTTTGTTATTAATAGACAGATTCAGCAGAGATCGTCGGCTCTTTACTGCCAGATTCTGTAACAATGCTTCATACAGCTTACTGCAACAGACACAGTCATGGATTAACTATCATTGGCCTGTGTAAATTTGGAGTTAAACAACAAGTCTGGACCTTTTCTGACTGCTTTCTAATAGGTTGCTGTCACTGGTTGTCTACATTACATGTTTTTTTTTTAAATATGACCACCCATGGTCCAGCCAAGATCATAAATGAATATGGTGGCTGTATGAAGTGTTGTGTAAGATATTCCCCAACAAATGCACTGTTACTAGTGTTTGAGTAACGTTTGCTAAAATCAAGTGTCATTGTCGTGGTATCGAAATCAGAATTGACAATTGACACTTTGTTGGTTTTGGTCATTTTGTGGGATTTATTGACCATAAAGAAAATGCAGAATAATGCCGTCCTTATACTTTGGTGTTCTGGCATTGTAACTATGAGGTGCTTGCTTTTTTTGCTTCAAAACTTGCTCATTCATGAAGTGTAGAAATTGAACACAAATGTTGTCATCTGAAAGTTTTTCATCAAGTTTTTGAAAATAAATCTACCAAACAAACCATATCTGCTCCTGTTGGATGTTTACATTTGGTCTTCACAGAATAAAATTGTAATTTGTATATTCACATCTTGTCTCCTAGGCGGGCACCTTCTCCTCCGACTTGCAGAACCGGATCAGGACCAATCTGGACCGCAAGGTGGCCGCCAAACTGGACCTGTCCAAGCTGTCCATCAACCGGGCCACCGTCATCCTCAACTCCATCGGCAGCCTGAGCAAGATGAAGGGCAGCGCCTGGACCTTCAAGAGGAGCCTCAGCCACGAGGGAACCGCCTCGGACCCCGGCTCCTATTCCTCGCCTCCTCTGGCCGTGGGCTTCTCCTCTCTGCTCCCTCCCTCCACACCTCCTCCATTCTCCTCTGCAGCGTCAGTGCCTTCGACGAAGTCCCTGCAGTCGACCTCCAGGAGCAGGAGGAAGTCGGCTCACACGGTGCTCCTCGAGGACGACAGCTCAGACGAGCCCAGAAGTCGAGCGGGTGAGACTCAGAAAAATGCTTAACAAATACGACTGCAAACATTGAAGTCTATAGATTTTTTTTAAAGGAAGTGTAAAGTGTTTTTTTTTGTTAATGAATGTGTATGTAAACAAGGGTATTAGTTTTTATTCAGACTGATTTAAATTAATGCAAAAAGATTTTATTTATTTATTTGTTACTTCTTTGAATCAAAAGTGAAAACAGCGAAAGGGTGAAAATAAGAATAAATTCAAGATAAACAAAACTTCAAATTCAGGCTAGTCTAGATTACTGCTTGCATTACAATAATGTATTTTTGATGTTCAGTTCCAGCACGAGTTGTGGAGGATGGACAGAGAGCGAGGGGGAAGAAGAGACGACGACTCTACAAGTCTGAGTCAGAGGGTTTCAGCTCCCCTCCTCCTCTGCCGCTGCAACCCAAGAGCCACAACGACGTCCGGCGACATCTGGAGGCCAAACCCTTCCCCGTCGGCATCAGGACCATCGGCAGCTTCCACGGTGCCATGACGAACAGCAGACTCAACCACCACCTCATCAAGGCAGCGTTCGCCAAACCTGCTGTTCACAAGCAAGAAGTGCAGACCATGCACCGGGTCCAGACGGTGATGCACGGCAACATCGCGACTTTCCGCCAACAGAAACCTGCACACATTTCTCCGATTGCGCAGAGAGGCAGGCGGAGGGCAAACAGCTCGCCGGTTTTCTCCCCTCTGGTGGTCGGAGGGGAGAACTACAACCTGGCCTCACCTTCAGTGAGGATCCGCACAGAGGACCGAGGCAGGGTGCAGTTCAACAGATTTCACCATCCAGCAAAGTAAGATGTTTGGGGAGGTTTGCACCTCCAAGCTCCTATTTATTTGTAGATTTTTGGGTGATTATTGTAGCTCAGAACAAACATATGCCTTCAGAATAATTTCAATCGCCATTGGGAGTCACCAAAGTCAAAGATCTTAAAGTCTTACAGTAAATGGGGGTTTTCATGCATTTTTGTGTCAAAGTGTCAAATATCAAATAAGTACAGAAGAGTTAATTAATATCTGCTAAATTAATTCACACTATCTACACCTGTCAGTGGGTGAATATCTATAAATAATCAGGCTAATTGTGAACTAATAATTAATATAACAAGGAATGTAACAGACACACTTTATCTCACCACCCAGTCTTAATTCTCTTCTTTCTTTCTCTCTTTGTTTTCCTTTCTCCTTGAAGCAAGCGCCGAGGCCGCCCCAGAAAACACCCACTCCCTCCCCGGCCTTCCCTGCCCTCTCCATCCTCCTCGTCTTCCTCTTCCACCTCCTCGGCCTCCTCTTCCTCCGGCTCCTCTTCTTCCTCTTCTGATGATGAGGACGATGAAGAGGAGGAAGAGGGGGAGGCGGCTGTCGGGGCGGTGGAGCCGTGCGCGGCGCCGCGGTGTCGGCTGCCCCAGCAGGACACGGTGCAGTGGATCCAGTGCGATGTGTGCGACGCCTGGTACCACATAGACTGTCTGCACGTGGACCGCAAGAAGCTCCTGAAGGACCCCAACGCTGACTTCCACTGCGGGTGTCGCTGATATGAGAGAAGCCAAGTTTGTGACGCTGAATGAAATTAAATTAAATGAAATGCTCCAGTTAAGACTTTCAAGTTGCCACATTTTCCCTCCTTAAATGTTTATTTCCTTCAGCCACATTTAAAATCAACAGACTGTTCATTGAAGACAGGCTTTTTCTTCTCCTAATGGCCACTGAGCTGCTCTACTCAAGCATGCACTGCTTTGCTCTTACCTCAACAGCAGCTGGCAAGGGCGAGGAAAGAGTTTCCTTCGATTTTTACATCTTGATCTTCCCAGGTTTGAGGATTTGTGATCCAGCAGTCACACAGCTGCTTTGCAGAACTCTTGCTCACTCAGTTTCAGGGCTCAGGCTTTGGAGAAGGAGGCAAAACCGTAATGAAATGTCTTGGGTCGGATTTCATTATGGCACTGACTGCCCGGAGAGGTGCAAACAGGGCGGGAAAACATGATGAAATGTTTCTGAGTACACTCCCACCGCGGCTGACCAGGAGGCAGCATTCAGGAAGATTAATGAAATGTTTCAAATCTAGTCTATACAGGGCGATAACACTCTCTCAGATGTCTCAGTGCAGCCACCTTCTGTAGTTTAGCGATCAGGCCAATATTTCAGGGCAGAACAAGACCTTCAAGTGAACATTAACTGATGGTTCGGATGGCCAAAAAAGCTCTACCACCCCTCCCAAAAATAAATCAGCACTGGGCTGGTGTTTTCCCACCTCAGCGATAATAAAACTGGATGAAATGTTTCAGTGCAGCTTTCCTGGGTGGCAGCAGCTGTCTAGGAGTGGGCGTGTGATGTTTCAAGACAATTAAACGGCAAGAAAATGTGTCAGCAGACTTCCGTTGTTGCTGCTGATGAGCGGTGCTCTCGGGACGATAATCAAATGTTTCACGGCACTTCAGCAGAAGCAGCTGCTGGGTTTT